TAATATGTACAGATTTTAACCCACAATTATCCAGGTCTGTCTATTGTCCTACAACATCCATGTATAAACATTCATTGCTATGTAATGATTAGTACCTGAGATATCAGTGTGAAAGTTGGAAATTGGTTAATTATGCAAATTAGGTGATTAATATGCACAAATATTTACCAAAAACTAATTGGGTCTCTGCATAATTCTAGATTCATTGAAATGTGATGATTAGTACTTTAGATATCAGTAGAAAAAGCTGAAAATTAATTATGCAAATTAGGTAATTAATATGCACAATTATTTACCCTGAAACTAATCAGGTCTCTGCATAGTCCTAAAGGATCTAACCGAAAATTGACTAATCATTATGCAAATTAGTTAATTAGTATCCACGGATTATTACCAAAAATTAATCAAAACCTAGCATTAGTTCAGAGCATCTAACACTAACACACTAACCGCAAAGACTCCCATTTTGTGCTTCGCACATGGGAGTCAAAAAGTATATGTCGTCAATTACTGCTCAACACACATGTTGACAATTACTGCTCAACACACATGTTGTCAATTACTGTTCAACACACGTTGTCAATTACTGCTCAACACACATGTTGTCAATTACTGCTCAACACACATGTTGTCAATTACTGCTCAACACACATGTCGTCAATTACTGCTCAACACACATGTTGTCAATTACTGCTCAACACACATGTCGTCAATTACTGCTCAACACATGTCAATTACTGCTCAACACACGTCAATTACTGCTCAACACATGTTGTCAATTACTGCTCAACACACATGTTGTCAATTACTGCTCAACACACATGTCAATTACTACTCAACACACTTCATCAATTACTGCTCAACACACATGTTGTCAATTACTGCTCAACACACATGTAGTCAATTACTGCTCAACACACATGTCGTCAATTACTGCTCAACACACATGTTGTCAATTACTGCTCAACACACATGTTGTCAATTACTGCTCAACACACATGTTGTCAATTACTGCTCAACACACATGTCGTCAATTACTGCTCAACACACATGTCGTCAATTACTGCTCAACACACATGTCGTCAATTACTGCTCAACACAGATGTTAATCTCATTGCATCACATCATACCGGTACTTCCAGTTGTCCACATATACTAGTTTGTGCACAGTTTCAACAATTCATAGTACCAGTATGTTGAAAGAGAAATTTTGGCACACTGTCAACCTCGGCTTGATGACTAAGCGTTGCTCGAATGTTGGGGTGAATACTTATATAATTTCACAGTTTAGACAAATTTTTGAATCTCCAGCAAACAACACTAACTCCTGCTGGCACATTCAAATGTGCAAATTTATCAAACTGTTTTTTTGTTTTTGTTTTTTTTTGTTTTTTTATATTAAAGTGTGATGTAATAAATACAATGCACAGATTTTAATTAATCGTATATTAAAGTGTGATGTAATAAATACAATGCACAGATTTTAATTAATCAAACTGTTGAAGTACTCCAAATGTAGCAATCATGCAACCATGAGATACCTAAAACATTCAATATTGAACACAGATATTCTCCATATTGCCCCCTTCCATCAATTACCTTTGTTAGAACATCTTTGTGTTGCTGATGTAAGGCTTCAACGTCAGACTGAAGCTGACCTACCATCTCTTCTTTCAATCTCAACTGCAAAACAAATATAATTTGGAATGGTAAAAGACCTTGCCCATATATTTAAATGAAATAAAATATAAAAGTTCATGAACGTTTATTAAGCAATGTGTTATGACAGTAAGCACATGTAAGAACATTTATAATTGGAAATTTGTAGTTATTGTACCCTGTGCGTAAGATGTGCGTAAGATTTGCATAATATTCAACTCATGAATAACCATGATCTAACTAGAAACATCATTCAATCTAAATGTCAGAATTGTTTATATTATGTACAGTTATGTGTAAGTAAAGAAATAAATAATCCCTTGTACGGTAGTCATGGCAACACATTTTGTCTGAATTTCAAGATTGACTGACAAAGTGAGAATAAGGTACTGGTAGAAATGATTTGTGATGGCTGAATAAAAAGTAAGTACACTGTGACATACACTAAGTACTGTCTGTAAACGTTGACACAAGCAGACAAATGAGCGCAATCTTGCCACATACCGAATGCAATTGACTCTCTTCTTTACTCTGTGCAGAGCTCAGTTCACTTGTCAAATCAGAAATTGTATCCTCGCACCTTTCAAGCTGAAATGTTGAAAAGTACAATTGATTATCACCAGCAAGAGAGACACATGTATAATCACAGTAGACAGGTATTACATGTTGTATCCAGGGGCAACCACTGAGATATCAATGCCAAAATAATAGACAAACCTCTTCTCGAGCACAAGAATGTAACTGTTTAGAATCTTCCAGTTGCCTTTCCAGAGATTTCCTTGCCTCTTCTTTAGCTTCCAGTTCCATCTTATATGTCTTACATTGATGTTTTAACTGATCAACTGTCATTCCTTCCTGCGCTAGCTTCTCCTCAGTTTTAGCAAGTTGCTCTTGCAGGTTTATTACATCCATTTTGTATCTATGGATGTTGTCTTCACGCCTCGAAATCTGCCAAAGTGATACACAATTTTCATTTTGATATTTTTAAAATGTTAATTATAATCACCCACACATACTTTTAATTATATACTAAATTACATAGATAGTTGTATATCAAATTGTATGTAAATACAGATATTATAAAGCACATTAGGAATTACAGTATCTATAGTTACCTCAGATGATAATATATCTTGTTCACTTTGTGAGGTAACTTGTAATGATTGCATCCTGGTTTCCAGTCTAGTGTTGTCCTCCACAGATTCTCGATACTGTTGTTTGGTAGCTTTCAAGTCAAGTTCCAGTTGCTGTATGGTCAGCTCACGTCTTTGCAGCTAAAAAGTTTAAAGAAAAAAGTTACTGTTGTTGGTTTGTACATTTTTTAATTAATGGAAACCTGTCAGTGTGGATTCTGCAAACTGTCATTTATATACTGTGACAATAATACAATCTTAACTGTACATGAATCATTGGTTGTAAAATAGATGTGGTGGTGGTGACACTGAGCCAAGCAGCTGATGTATTGTGAACAGAAACATCATTTTTACAGCACTGTACTGTTGTAAGCCTTTTCAATTCTGAGTAACTTGAAAAAAAACGTTATTATGATTGATAGGTGATTTGCAAGTAAATCCATTTATCAAGTAAATCTTAATACAATAAAAATGTAATGCATTACCATTTGAATTTTGTTTAGCTGCGCATTAAATACAACTAACCTATGAAGCATGTAATATTCAATGTTCCAAGTTCACGCAGCCACATAGTTACCATGAGTGATAGTCATGCTATAAATTCAAAAGAAAGGGACCATACAACAAGAAACAACTCCAGACACTGGTGTGTATCTCAGAATAATCTTAATAGTAAATGCTTTATGTCTAATATAAATTTTGTAATATTCGATATAGTTCATCTTCGATGGTCGAACAGAGAATCTCGCTTGTGATTCAGTGACTTGATGCTGAAAATCAAATCCTAACCAAATCCACTTGGCTGCTCGGTGATGTTCAGGTATTGGCAAATATCTTGTAAATACCATAGTTGTTGTATTTTACAACAGTTCATAATTACTTGACAATACAATTTTGAAATGTAACAGTTATTATTAAATCTTCAAACAAAAGAGAGAGATAAACTTACATCATCATTAGTTCGCCTATTGTCCTCCTGTACATTCATCAGTTCTAGCTCTAGTTTCTGTATCGCCCTTTCTCTGCGAGATATCTCATCTTGCAATTCATGGTGTTGTTTTTGCATTCTTTGAATTGTTTCATCTCGAGCTGTAATCTGTACAAACAACATGTCATCCATGTAAATCATAAATTATAAAGTCAGAGATAAAGTTAATGTACATCTGGTATTTTGCTTATGAAACTTGTATGGTGCATTCAAATATCTACATGGATACAAATGTACAATAAAAATAATGTAACTCATATTGACTGCAATCGCACATACAACATTTGACCGTCTTCACCAACTAAGATTTATTAATTCAAACATCCCCTCACTATTATACATTGGCAGAATTCCTACTCTAAACTATATTCCCTATTGATGAAATCAAACACAATGATATGTTTTCCACACATAATCGTTTTTTGTTTTGCTTTTCCATGTGTACTATGATTTACGCTATCTTGTGATGACAAAGTATATAATTTTGCAATTGATTTGAGTTGACAATGAATGATGTTTCCAGCTTCTTTGCACCACAAATCCTATTATTCAATTTAACAGTTTTTTCTGACATGATCATGTATGAAATCTGCTTCAGTAAAAACATGCAAATAGCTGATGACAATTGACCAACATTCAGTGAATTCGCTTTAGCTATACTATTATAAAATAAGCAATAAGATATAATATTATATACCGGTAATTTCATAAAACTTTTTTTCATTTTAAAGTTACAATACAACAGTTAAATTTAACACAACCAGACATATTGTGACCCTTGACGCAAGATATAATGTTACTTTAACGACAATGCAATACAATAGCGTACATACACCATAACTTGCAGGTACATGTATACAAGGGTATATGGAGTCCACCTACACACTGTAAACATGCACAATAGATTAATTTGAAAATTTTATGACTCTGGAAAAATAGGAAATATGGTATCATCAAGATAATGGTTACAACAATTATATATATCTACATAGTCACATTCATCAACTCAAGAAAACTCAACACAAATGAACAGATTGAAAACAATTCAACATGTCAATCTTATAAAGTGCAAATTTTTTTCCCGCTTAAATTTAGGAAAATCTTTCAACATTTTCTGTAATTTTCACCGAATTCAATCTTAATTTTCAACCAAAGAAACAAAATGCGACATTGCTTCTACTGATAGTTTTTGATAAAAAATATTTCATGTGGAAAAGTGTAGACTATAAATAAAACTATTTTTTGGATGGTGTCTGAAAGGTTAATGCTAAATTGGTAATGTCCTCAATATAGTATTAGATGGCAACTATGAAGTCCTTATCTGTTTTCAGTGTAAATTTATTTTCTATTATGTTACTGAAGTTTCACTAATGTGCAGCAATGAATGTCTGGTCGTTAACTGCACAGTTCTGAGTTCTCAACTCAGTGAATAACAACTAACCAATGTAAAAAAAAAAAAAAAAAAAAATACATCAGTAATAATAACAAAATCCAACAAAAATGTTTAACTTACCTGGCAGTAGTGCTTATTTTTACTCATTTTTTCTCGTTATTTTGCCAGACAATTTTCAATCAAAAGTTGTAACAGTTACATTGGTACGTTGAACAAAATCGGACCACTTAGGTAGGTCAGGAAAATTATAACAATTCATGACCCCACAGGTCAAAAGAAATTAACACATACAAGTCCAATGTGCACGGAGTACTACATTTTATACAAAATACTCATTTCAGGACTAATCACAAAAGAAGTTTCTATCATTTTAATAGCATATCTTGAAATATATGTAAACTTGAGGGGTTGTTTTTACTTCAGGATGGGGGGTACCTATAAAGTCACTTGCAGTCATGCAGCAAAATGAAGTACCAGTACTGGTATCAGCTCATTTGCATATTAACAATGGTTTAAGTGGTGTGGTTTTCACTGCTCTTGTTACATTGTAAGAATGAAAACTGGTAAAGTAAACACAATCCCTTAAACTGAATTGAGTTAGAATTGAATGAATAGTGGTATTTGGGTACAAGGTGGTTGGTTGTAATTGTACCATGCAAAACATTTTCTTGTATACTTAGCACAAGAAGATTTTGAAATATAGAAGTAATGTGTTATAATCAGTTAGATGGTAGCATGGTCAGTTGAAATCTGGCCAGTGTTACAGAGATGGTTCAGTTGGTCTTATTTTTGTGATGTGCACAAGTCTGTATTGTGAGTGTGTAAGTGTAAGTGGTTTACATTACAAAGTGTAACCAATGATTTCTATACGTTCTGGTACATGAGTTGTTTTAATTTTCCCATATTCTGCAAATTATCACAAATTGTGACTTACCTGTTGGTGATTTTGCTGTAACTGTTCTCCTAACTGTGATATTTCTGATTGCAGCTTCTTGATTTTTTTTTCTTGTTCTGATGATTCAGATTTCAATACAGCAATATCCTGACTGGCATTCAATTTATCATGTTGTGAGCGGCTTTGAAGCTCTCCAAACTACAACACAAATATTGAAACTGAATTTGAACAGCAAGATGCAAAACCAGAACATAGCGAACCTATCTCAGCCTTACAAATAAAGCATAGCATACATTATCTCACAATTGCTATAGATGTGTAAAATCAGTAACACAACAAACATATACAGTACTTATTCAACTGAACAGACTTTGTCATCCAAATTATTCTGTACTTTTTTTTTATATTCTTCAATATTTCTAAAAATGAACCCTAATTTTGGAACCAACAGACAAAATTTGAGTCAATTTTCAGCCTTTTTGGGAAAGGGCAGTCTACAAACAAAACTATTTTGTGAATCTGTTATGAAAAAACAAAACTAGTACTGAAAAGGTTGAAAAAAGAGATAGTTTAATGTAATTGCTTTACCATAGTTTCTACACTGCACACACTCTATAGTGGATGGATATTTGTACATTACTCCATGTTGCTTTTAGATGATTATTTTAAATTTTTAAACTCCAAATCTAGAAAGCATTTTGAGTTAGTTCTCTACTGTTGTTGTTGAATTATAAAATGCCAGTCAGTGACTTGCTTCCACTTGACCAAAGCTGATTCAAGATCACTAAACCGTTGAATTTGATGGTTCTAACCTGATTCATCTGTTCTTGATATTTGAGTTTAAATGATGCCAGTTCTTCATTCACAGCTTGCATTTTGTTTTGGCTGTCTTCAAACTGTAAAGAAAAACAAAAGCAGAGAATCAGAGCCACATATTGCCACTAGTGGGCGCTATTTACAATACACATCACAATAACACAATAACCATACATACACACAGGTATACAGGTACATTTCCTGATGCAAAAACTACACAATGTGTTACATAAAACCCACTATATCATCCCAGGGACAAATCAAACAACAAAGTCATTAAATATATTTAAACAAGGCTTGTTGGCAAGAATAGCATATTTCTAGTATTCCGAGTCCAGTGCCAAATAGTTTATATTATACTGGCAACTATGACAGCTTGGCATGGTAAGTACTGATAACTATGACAGCTTGGCATGGTAAGTACTGATAACTATAACAGCTTGGCACATGGTAAGTACTGATAACTATGACAGCTTGGCACATGGTAAGTACTGACAGCTATGACAGCTTGGCATGGTAAGTACTGATAGCTATGACAGCTTGGCATGGTAAGTACTGACAACTATGACAGCTTGGCATGGTAAGTACTGACAGCTATGACAGCATGGCATGGTAAGTACTGGCAGCTATGACAGCTTGGCTTGGCATGGTAAGCACTGGCAGCTATGGCAGCTTGGCATGGTAAGCACTGGCAGCTATGACAGCTTGGCATGGTAAGTACTGGCAGCTATGACAGCTTGGCATGGTAAGTACTGGCAGCTATGACAGCTTGGCATGGTAAGTACTGATAGCTATGACAGCTTGGCATGGTAAGTACTGGCAACTATGACAGCTTGGCATGGTAAGTACTGACAGCTATGACAGCTTGGCATGGTAAGTACTGACAGCTATGACAGCTTGGCACATGGTAAGTACTGACAGCTATGACAGCTTGGCATGGTAAGTACTGACAGCTTGGCATGGTAAGTACTGACAGCTATGACAGCTTGGCATGGTAAGTACTGCAACTGACAGCTTGGCCATGGTAAGTACTGATAGCTATGACAGCTTGCCATGGTAAGTACTGATAGCTATGACAGCTTGCATGTAAGTACTGATAGCTATGACAGCT